TCTCTGAAATTCAGCCAAAACTAACTTGCATTTTAACAAAAACCTATGATTCCAAAACCCTAAACTTAACAAAAAGAAACCCAAAATCAAAGAGATCTGGAAGTTTGGCATTGTACAAATTCTACATTCCTAGGACAAAAGAAATGTACCGGGAATCTGGGTGGAGAAATTTCGGAGTTGTTCGATCAATGAAGATAGTCCAAGCTGCTTGAACCCTAGAGCTGTCCTGCTTCTCCTCTCTCCACTGAAAATACACAGGAGAGACCTCGATGGCAAGACCCAAAAACCAAAATTGATTGGGAAGTGTGTGTCGCAATGCAATGTTTTGCTCTGACTTGAGTCCGGTTCTTGGGATTAAATCGGCACAATATATAAACTGAACCTGCCATATTAGAGTTGAGTGGTACATCACGAATCATGAGCTCAAGGCTCGCCGGTAAGGTCTTACATCTCATAATCATCGTTTCATTTGTGTGTCAAGCTGGATTTTGTACACCATTAAAAGCTCACCAATAATAATAACCAAATATCGATTAATCTTTTTGTGCAACAATCTATATTTACATCTCTCTACTCTAGGTGGTTGAAAATAATAAATCTTAATTTAAAAATAATAATTAATATTTACTAAAATAGAATTCTTTAAGTGTAAATTAAAACTAAGCTAATAAAAACTAAAAAATTAACAACAAAATTCTTTGAAAATATTTCACCAAAAATATAATATTCATGCATACTAATGAAATGTTAAAACAACTCTTTAAAACATGAATAAATTACAAGAAATAGAAAAAAAAAAAAAAAGAAGAAGAAGTAATGTATAGGAGATGGCGATTGCGAAGGAGATTTTATCGATGAACATCGATCTTCGATGAAAAAGTGGCTGCTGAAGGATTTTGGATTCTTTGCGGTTATTTTGGGTTTTGTTGATGGTCTCTCAAGGATTTGGGGATTCGTTTATGGTCACTTGGAGGTGAGACGAGATAATTGCAGAATCTTGGCTAGGCCTGAGCGTTCGGATATCGGATCGGGTTCGGTTTGGATTTTTTCGGTTTTCGGATTTTTTGGATATTGATTTTAATATCCATTCGGATATTTATAAAATTCGGTTTCGTTTCGGTTTGGATATTTCGGATTTTGGTTCGGTTTGGATATAATTGTGATAATTAAATTTTAACCAAAATTTATTGGATTCGATTTTATTCGGATATTTTTAAATCCAATTATTCTCAAATAATCCATGCTATCCAAGTATATATAAAAAATAGAAATGAGGCAAATGACAAGTTCAAAGAACCAACTAACATAATACCATACCAATATATAAAAGTGAAGCATAAAACTGTGTCGATGCATAAAAGCTTTAAATAAACCAAACAAAACCATAAATTCCTAATGAAAAAGTAGCAAAATTCAGTAACATCCTAAAATCAATTAAAAATAACTTTTAATCCGATATGCGGCAAACGTTTATATCCTAAAGATATTAAAGTATATATTATAAGTTTGGTTATATATGGATATCTATTGGATATCGGTTTGGATCGGGTTTAATCCGATATCCAAAAATAATGAAAGCTAACAACCGATCGGTTATTTCCCCAATATCGGTTCGGTTTTAATCCAATTTTTTTGGTTCGGTTCGGTTCGGATTTTTGGATTCGGATTTTATGCCCAAGCCTAATCTTGGCGATCGAATCATGGTATATGTTCTCTTTATCTCAATGGCGGTTGTTTTGCGGTATGTTCAATGTATTTGGGATCTCATTCTCTGGATTATAGGAAATCAGATCTTATATTTGAAGATGGAATCTCTCAGCGATGCAGGATTGATATCCCATATTGATAAGATTGGCTTAATTAGTAGGAATTCACGGGATGAATTAGCTAATTTAGATCCCGTAATTGGTGTTGTCTGGATTTGGGTGTTCCCATGGTTAATGCATAATCTCTGGAGACGGAAGGCAGGTTTGAAATCCTATAAAAACAGGCGGTGGAGAAACAATAGTAGAACCAGTACTCTCTCAACTTTCTTCAGTCAATTGTATTCCATCACCTTTTGGGTTCGAGCAATGGGAGTGCAAATACACTTCAGGGATGTGCCTACTTTCATGAGTATATGTGACGGAATAGGATATGCAAAGGAGGTTGATCTAGATAATGGAAGAGTTCAAGTTGCTCTCATCATCGACAACTTTAAACAAATGATCAAACGAGAATAGCTTTTCAAGGCTTGGTTGCGTCTTGGTAGCTTCGACATAGGATCTAACCATTTCAAGCAAGCAGTCTGCGACTGGTTTTGGAACAGTATCAAGCTTGGGGAATATTTCTTCAAATCCGAAATCCATAATGGGTCGGTTTTCTGAAAATCAGCCAAAACAAACTAGCATTTTACCAAAAACCTATGATTCCAAAACCCAAAATTTAACAAAAATGAACCCAAAATCAACTAGAGTTTAAAAAGAATCTTCTATTTCCAAAGCAGCAATGACTTTAGGGGACAAAAATGATGCATGATTGGGGACAACCTTCTTCAGAACCTATGCTTTTGAGATTCTTTATCAATATACAAAATATATGAATTTTTGAAATCCAAATGGTGAAGTTGGAGGCTGAAATCAAGAACAAAGAAAAACCTTAGAAAAAGAATATGGACGTGATGTAAAGGTGATTGAACACAACGTCGGTTTTTGCATGGATATACTATTCTTATAGCTGTCAAGTTTATGCAATTATGTTTAAAAAACATAAATACCAAACTATGATTCAAATTCTTCTGACAAAAATTGTTGAAAAATTCGACAGTTGATTGCTTTCAATTAGAACATCATCAAGATGCTCATACTGGATTTGCGAACTCTAAAACTTTCCATGCAAAAGTTGATGAAGGTGACAATTGCATCTTCTATCCTTATCTCAAAGAAAATTTCTTACTTATCTTCTTTCATATTAAAACCTCTAAAAGAATTATCTTTACCCTTGTCCATGGCTGCATAAATATATGTTATGAGTATTTTTTCCTCTATATCGTCCATTATTTATTCTTTAACGACTGTATTTTCAATTAGAAGCCATGGCTCAAATCTATGTTAAATATTTGTTCAAATACTCAAATTGTTACTAACTTCAAGATAAAGCATCTCATAATTTCTATATGAGAGATAAAAGAAAAAAATTATCTTTAGGTTTAGGTAGATAAATATTATGTTAACACATATATAAAAAGCAAGGTTTTTTTGGGTTTTTGCGGTTTTGAGATTACTGGATTTTAGCACTAAACCCAAATCGGAGAATTGTATGGGTCGCGTGTTAACCGGTCGGACCGGCGGGTCCAGTCCGGACGTGAAAACACTGCTTTAGGTAGATAAATATTATGTTACATATAAATTGATCTCTTTGTTTAGTATGACATATGCAACCAAGTATTTTTTTTGTTTTATTAGAAATTAAAAATCCCAATTAAATAATAAATATAAAATAAACTATAAAAAAAAAAAACCTCTCTCTCTCACGGCTTTTCATAAGGGGATTAGAAAAAAGCAGGCTTTTGTGTGTTTTCTGGACTGCCGGCGATTGCCGGTAGTACAACTTTGTTGTTTAATTATTTTTTTATCATGATTTTAGTAATTATGATAGAAAACTTTTTATTCTGTCAAATTATTTTCATATCTATTCTCTTTTTTAGATTTTTCTTCACCTTTATGGTGATGGTTGCTATTACTCTCGTCGGTGATGTGATCTTCTTGGGACATCTTTGCATTCTTCGACGGTCATCCCCACATCAAAGCCCATGATTCGATGTGATGCACTCTTGTTTTCACAGATCTACAAATCTAAATGGCCATATCATGATTTGGTGTCCTCACAACCATTATCACAAATTCCGATGGTCAATGAAACCACTGACGCCAATCGATTCTTCATAGTTGGAAGGCCATCGAATCCAAGGCGTCAAAATCTCATACTTTGGAGATATTCAGATGTGCTTTGGAAAAAACCTTCATGGAAACCACCATGGAGATACATACGATTTAAGATGAAGATGGAGTGTCACTAAGTAACTATATATGGAAGAATAAGGCAATATCTCGGAGGAGTCAAGTTTCAGAATCAAGTCAAACAACATTCAGTTTCAGTTTATTAGTCAAGGTTATGCCAAAGGCATTTTGGAGTTTCATCGAAAAGATGATAGCCATTACGAGTATATGAAAAGGGGACTTAACATATATTTTCTGTTAGCCGATAAAGTTTTTGATTCGAAAGCAAGGTCACTTCCACTCTTTCATCGAAATTGTGTTCTATTTACTTTTATTTGTGACAATGGTTGTATTTGATTTGTTTCTGTATCTTATAAACTTTTTGTGATATTATATATTAATTTGGTGTTAAAAAAAACAAATTAAAATACTAAAATCATAAGATGGATTCGACTTAATGATGTGTACTAGTGTTGTCGACAAACAAAAACAAAACATTTGTATAAATATTACTTTATGACTTTATTCACTAAAACAAGACAAAAAAAAAATGGTGGCTAGTTTATTCTTTTCATCTAAACTCAATGATATTAAATCGAAATTACAAAATCAATACACAAAAACTTTTTCGAAAATATAAATTGTTACATAAACATACTTATATGTCATATAGTAAAAAATATACACAAAACCATTCTTTTCATAAATAAGTTTTACATGCTAAATAGATTTATTAAATTCATTATTTTCCTTCTTCATATTTGATGGTTTACTTTACTCAAATCAAATAGTTTGTGGCTAGTTATTTATATACGCAATATATGTAACATTATTTTCATATTTAATATTAAAAAATGACTATACACAAATACATAAATTAAAAAAGAGAGAGTACATATAAAAGAAAGACAATGAAACCTACCAAACTAAACGACCCTCCATTCTCTTCTATCAGCCGTTCCCTCTACCTACCTCCACAATTTCTTCTCCTTAACCTTCTCTCCCCACAATATTTATTTCATTTTAGACAACTCTTCTATTTTCATCTCCACCTACACACTCACAATTACTATATATTTACATAAATATTTCATTCCTAACTATAATCAAAGAGAGACTCTAATACATTCACATTCATATCCCTTCTTCTCAATAACAATACAAATCCACAATGATCACTGCAGCTATACACGAACCTCAGACGATTCACAATACATCCGTCGTCGTCTCCGGCGATGTACTTCCTCCTCCTCCTCCTCCTACTCCTTCGAATCCTCGTATTTTCCGGTCGAAGCTTCCGGACATTGACATACCAAACCACCTACCTCTCCACGCTTATTGTTTCGAGAAACTCTCCTCTGTTTCCGACAAGCCTTGTCTCATTGTCGGCTCGACAGGAAAAAGCTATACTTACGGAGAAACCCATCTCATCTGTCGGAAAGTTGCTTCCGGGTTGTACAAGTTAGGTATCAGAAAAGGTGACGTCATCATGATCCTTCTTCAAAACTCAGCTGAGTTTGTCTTCTCTTTCATGGGTGCTTCAATGATCGGAGCCGTCTCAACCACCGCAAACCCTTTCTACACTTCTCAAGAGATTTACAAACAGCTCAAATCTTCCGGAGCTAAACTTATCATCACTCATTCACAATACGTTGACAAGTTAAAAACCCTCGGTGAAGACCTAACTCTGATCACCACCGACGAACCAACGCCGGAGAATTGTCTTCCTTTCTCAACACTCATCACCACCAACGAACCATACCCACTTCAAGAAACCGTCCACATCTGCGGTGACGACGCGGCGGCGCTTCCTTTCTCCTCCGGGACAACAGGGTTACCTAAAGGAGTGGTTTTGACTCACAAAAGCTTAATCACAAGCGTTGCACAACAAGTAGATGGTGATAACCCAAACCTTTACCTCAAACCAAACGACATCGTACTCTGCGTTTTACCTCTTTTCCATATCTACTCTCTCAACAGCGTCCTCCTTAACTCCATCAGATCCGGTAACCATAAAACGACGTCGTACTCTACACTATACACTTTTAATCTTTAATGTTGTGTTTATATCTAAGTTTAAATGTATAATAGGTGTGACGGTTCTTTTAATGCATAAGTTTGAGATCGGAGCTTTGTTGGATCTAATCCAAAGACACAAAGTTACAATGGCTGCACTTGTACCACCACTAGTGATCGCTCTAGCTAAGAACCCTGCGGTTAACTCTTACGATCTTTCGTCTGTAAGATTGGTTCTCTCTGGTGCAGCTCCTTTAGGTAAAGATCTTCAAGATAGTCTTCGTCGCCGTCTCCCTCAAGCTATCCTTGGCCAGGTCTGTCTCTGTCTTTGTTTTTTTTTTTTGGAATAATCAAAGAGGTTCTGGGTCGATACTCATGCATTTCTTCAGACCGAGACCAAAATATGTTATATGGTCTCGTATCAAACGCCTTTGTCTTTGTTTTTTGCTACAGCCCTATTATAATTATGCGGGAATCATTTATTTTCTGCATATTTTTAAAATTATCAAGAAGTATATATTTTTTTTATTAATGCTTAGTTTCATTTTCTTACAATTTTGATCAAAATGAATTAATTAAAAAATTGAAATATATTTTTTTTTTAATTAAAAAAAAAATGAGAGGAGGGTGCACGGGAAGAGAGTGAGGAGTGAGTTACGTCTAAGTCATCGGCATAAATTTTGGTTACGTATGTTCTATCTGACCTCAAGCTAATTTCGCATTGTACCACTTTTTTCTAATCTTGTAATTTTATATTTTTTAAAAAATTATAATAAATGAAACAGTTGTAGTTTAGGTTTAATTTGACTTATTACAAAAGAAAAACGAAATATTAGAATACGGATATGATTTAGGTAGCTGCTGCAATGGATACTGCATTTAAATTCTATGACAACAATTTCATATTAAGTCCTCTTTATATATATTTTATATAAAGAGTTTTGTTGTATATAATTCCAACTTCTCAAATTGTCTTCTTCTTTATTTGTTTTTACACTATTGTGTAGAGTCTGGTCTTATTGGCCGAAAATTCGAAAAACAGTCCATTATATTTATACTTTTCTATAAGTTTTTTTGTTTGTTTGATTAATATACTTTTCTACAAGTTTCTTCACATGAATTTAATTACTTGTGAAAGCTTTTCTTTTCTATACTTCTTTTAGAGATTTTTGAATAATAATAACATTATATTTTACAGCATTAATTTAGAGTATACTATTAAAAGCCATGAGGGTTTAAAATCAAAAATATTATTATTACACATAGTTTATAGTTAGTTTTTTTTGCTAACTACTAAATTAAATTTTTATTTAATATAGGAAAAAGTAGATGAGGGTCTCGAGATATGAAAACATTCTTATTGCTAAAGAAAACCACAAACAATTAAAACACTGATTTAACACACAAAAAAAAACATTGTTATGTGACGTGGTCACGTTTCTTTCACACAATATTTTCGTTTTTTTTCTTTTCGTTGATTTCTTTTTACATTTTATAATCTTTTAAAAGGATATGTAAAACAAAAAAAAAAACTTATCTAAAATTTGGAACAAGCTCGTATAGTCATATAATTTAATATTGGTGAATACATACTACAATAGTGCCAAATTAATATGTAATTAGAGAGGTAGTAACAAGTTAATTATGAATTAATAACAGGGTTATGGTATGACGGAGGCAGGACCAGTGTTGTCAATGAGCCTTGGGTTCGCTAAAGAACCAATCACGACAAAATCAGGTTCTTGTGGGACTGTTGTCCGAAACTCAGAGCTTAAAGTGGTTCACCTTGAGACACGTCTCTCTCTTGGTTACAACCAACCTGGTGAGATCTGTATCCGCGGTCAACAGATCATGAAAGGTTCGTTTTATTTTATTTTTATTTTTCTTCTCGTTTGGGAAATAAAATGTTGACAATGGAAAGTGAAAATGACCTTAATTAATAGAATATGTAGTTTAGAGAAAGAAAAAAAAATCTTTGTTTTTGTCAACAGAAATTATATAAAGAGTCAAATGAGCCAAAAAAAATCTTTATTATTAATTGGAGAATTAAAAAAAGTATCACACTCTTTTATTTTAAACTGAAAATACTCTAAAAATAGTATATTTTTTAAAACAAAAACTCCTCATAAATATTTAAGAAGATTAATGTTATTATAAAAATAAATTTTTAATTCCACCAAAGAAAAGAAAAAAAAATTAAGATATATTTTTGGAAAGCATAAGACAAAAACTCATATAATTTCTAGCAAATTTTTTTAAAAAGGATTAAAAAAAAAATAGAGTGAGTTGTCAAAAAATCTTCATTAAGTAAAAAGAAAATAAATGATACAGCATTTTATTAGGTTTGCGTATCAACACATGTACGTACATAAGTACGACATGCATGTTCTTTCCAAAGTACCTATACCTCACTAACATTTTCATGTACGTACGTGACATGACTTTTATCTTCTTCTTCTTTTTTTTTTGTCATCAGACATGAATTTTGTCTAGAAAATAAATCATGGGCTCAAAAAATTACAAATCCATAGTAGAGAGTAGAGAGACTAACATTTGCCGACAAAAAAAATAAATAATAATAACATTTGCCGACTTAACATTTGGCGTGTAGAGTACTTGAACGATCCAGAAGCAACATCAGCAACAATAGATGAAGAAGGTTGGCTACACACAGGTGACATTGGGTATGTAGATGAAGATGATGAGATCTTTATCGTTGATCGACTTAAAGAAGTCATCAAGTTCAAAGGCTTTCAGGCTAGTTCCACTAACTCAATACTAGTTTAAACTATAGTATAAGATAAGATGGTTAAGAGAATATGTGGTGAGATGATGAAATGTGAAAATGAACAGGTCCCTCCAGCTGAGTTAGAGAGTTTGCTCATCAACCACCATTCAATTGCTGATGCAGCTGTTGTTCCGTAAGTAAATCACACATGTTACTACCATGTTGGTTGAGTACTCTAAAACGGCACCGTTTTGTTAAATTATTCTTTGGACTTATATGTGTGTGTTATAGGCAAAATGATGAAGTTGCTGGTGAAGTTCCAGTGGCTTTTGTGGTGCGATCTAATGGAAATGATATTACTGAAGAAGATATTAAAGAATATATTGCTAAACAGGTATATACAAATCTTTCTTTTTCGATTTTTTATAATACAATTTTTGGTTTAGCTTATTGAATACTTGGTTTTGTAGGTGGTGTTCTATAAGAGATTGCACAAGGTCTTCTTTGTACCTTCAATTCCAAAATCTCCTTCTGGAAAAATTCTGAGAAAGGATCTCAAAGCTAAACTTTGTTAAGACTTAAGAATTATTTTTTTCTCTTAATTAAATGTAATTTTCATTGATGATTCAAACGTTCTTTTGTATCCCAAAATATGTGTGTCTTTGTGTTACATCCTTTGTCATTGATTGTCACACATTATGTGGAATATTTAAGAAGTTAAAGAGTGATTAAGTATATATGCAATTTATAAAGATGAGACAACTTGCAATAGAAGATAGAGAAGAGGAAGTTGTTAACATCAACCACATATCTAAATATTTTCCCTTCACGATCACACCATTCTTTTTAGAGAATTTGTTAGTAATGCCCCCTTTGAGATGTCCATTTTTTAAAATACCCCTCTTTTTAACAATTTTTAATTGTACCCTTCTTTAATTTTTAAAGACAAATTTGCCCTCATTTATATTACTTCTCTTTTCTTCATACCCTAAAGCAACGCAGACATCTTCTTCTATCCTTGTCATTGAGCTTCACCGTCGTCGTCATCATCGTTGAGCTTCGCCGTCGTCGTCATCATCGAGCTTCGCCATCACCGTCATCGTTGACCTTCTCTTCAGATTTGTCGTCATCATCGATCTCCGTTGTTGCCGTCATCGTTGAGATTCTCTTCAGATCTCATACACTGTCTACAACCATCGTGATTTTTAAGGATGGTAAAAGAAGCTCTCTCTCTCTCTCTATCTCTCTCTCTCCCCCCTTCTAGAAGATGGTTTTTCAGTTTTGAAGAGACAAAATCACGATTTGAAATTAGTATTGATGTTCAAAATGGAGATGACTTTACAACTCTTTGTTCTCTTTCCTGGTATTGGGGGTTTTTGAATTTGGCAAAAATTAGTTTTTGATGAATTGGTTGCTAATTATGTATTGATGTCTGCAATTTTTGTATTTAGATGATTAGATTATGCTAGTGTAATGGGAATTGTTGCATATGAATTTGAAATAAATGGTGAAGATGTTTGTTTTTTATGTGTGTAGGAAGTGTAAATTTGATATGAGAGCCAATTGACAACAAAAGATATTTAGAGTTGTAGAGAAAATTAATATCTATAGGTTTGGTGTACTTAGGTTAGTTCTGTTGTCTAGAAGAGTTGATGTGTTTAATGGACTAAATGAGAGTCATATACCATGTATATCGGTAATGGAAAAAGAAAGACTGGAGTTCATGATTATAATACTCAATAAATTCTCAGATTTTCAGTGGTGGTTTCTCTGTCCTACCTTTTGTTAATTTGTTCTTTAATTGCAGGTATTGCTACATACTACAGTTTTTTGGATGGCTAAGGGATGAGTGACGCCAGACTTGCTACTGAGATGACACATGGAGGAGAAGAAACAGAGCTAAGAAATGGAGTAATTGAGGACAAGGGGAAGATCAAGCTGAAGTGCTCAGAAAGAGAGCGAAGTTCTCTGGTGTCGAAAGCTCCTCTTTTCTGTCACATTTTGGGTCAGTTTGAATAATTAGATTAACTGCTCTAGTTGTTGTTCTGTATTGTCGATTTTGTTTGGCCGTGATATTATTGATTGTAACAGGTAAGAGCTGCAGCCTGCAGTCACGAGTGATGAAAAATGTAGCAATCTCTCATTTCATCTACTTCTCCTTCTCCTCATCAAAGAGAGTGGTTCCCTAATTTCTTCTAGTCTCTGCAGTCTTTGTATAATTCTAAAAGTACTGAAACAAGCAAGAAGTATGAAGGACAAGTTTGAGAAGTATTAGGATGTATTGATCAATATAAATCCACTTGTCATGGTGGAAGCATAATAGTCTGAACTATGTATGTTTAGGAACCTTATAAAATATGTTTTTTTAGACATACCGTTTATGCAAATTGTTGTTTGTTAGCGAGAAGCATATATTCATCTAAAGTTTTATAAATTCTTTTAAAAGCTATATGTAAAACCTTTTAAAAACTTTTAAAAACCTAATAAAAGCCTTGTAAAAATTTTTAAATAATTTTTACAAGTTTAAAGTTTAAACACCTTATAAAACCTTTTAAATATTTTTAAAAACTTTTTAAAACCTTTATAAAAGTCTTATAAACTCTTTATAAAGGCCTTATAAAATCTTATAAACTCTTTATAAAGGCCTTATAAAATCTTTATAAAGCCTTGTAAAACCGTATAAAAGCCTTGTAAAACTTTTCAAATAGTTTTAAAACCTCAATATCCATTTAAACACCTTTTAAATACGTTTTAAAACCTTTTAAATACTTTTCAAAGCTTTTTAAAAACCTTATAAAAGCCTTATAAAATATTTATAAAAGCCTTGTAAAATCTTAGTAAACCTTTTTTAATAGTTTTTAAAACCTTAATGCATTTAAACACCTTATAAAACCTCGTAAAAACCTTTTAAATATGCTGTAAAACCTTTTAAATACGTTGTAAAACCTTTTCAAAACCTTTTAAATAAGTTTCACAACCTTTTAAAACCCCTTATAAAATATTTATAAAAGCCTTGTAAAACCTTATAAAAGTCTTGTAAAACTTTTTACATAATTTTAATTTAAAACCTTAATATCTATTTAAACACCTTATAAAATTTTGTAAAACCTTTTAAAGACTTTACAAAACTTTTTTAAAACCTTATAAAAGCCTTATAAAATATTTATAAAAGTCTTGTAAAATCTTACAAAAGCTTTGTAAAAGTTTTAAAAAACCTTAATACATTTAAACACCTTATAAAACCTTGTATAAAACCTTTTAAATACGTTGTAAAACCTTTTAAACACTTTTTAAAACCTTTTAAAAACCTTATAAAAACATTATAAAATATTTAAAACGTTGTACAAGGATTTTAAAAGGTTTTACAATTTTTTACAATTTTTTTTAAAGTTGTATAAAAATTTTAAGGGATTTATAAGAAATTTATACGGTTTTCAGATAGGTTTTCAAGGGTGTGTGTGCCTTTGTGTCTATAACAAATATTCAGAGATTTTCCTTGACGAATCCTCCACGACATCTTTTGTTTAAAGGAATCCTTCTCCTCTATCTCTTCTCCTTTATCTCTCGTTTGCACAACACAGAGGTTGATACTCTTGCTAAAACTGCTCTCTGTTTGTTGTCTGTTGTAAACTCTTCCTCCATTGCTGGAGGCTAACTCTTTCTTCCTTCTCGGTTTAATATATTTATGTTTGATCAAAAAAAATATATTATGAATCCTTAATATTCTATATCTGATGTACTACTTACATAATCAAAAATATAAATAAGAATTGCAGGAAAGTTAAACAAAGTAACATGTCATATACAATCTAAGCTCTCCTGCAATATAAAACCAGCCACGATTCTTGCCAATTCTGAAACGTTCGAGCCGTGTTTCACATTGTTTGATCCTTTCACACTAAATCCACATAAGCATGAGGTCCTAACTGTGTTGCACGTTGTATGTCCCACCTTCAACAAAAGCAACTTGAGCCAAACCATTAAACAACATTCCTGACTTGGATCCAACATTATTCAAAAAGTGATGGATTTGTGTTCTCTGCAACATTCATAATTTTAAAAGATAATGTATTACCTCAATGCAAGTGAAGATCTCTTGGGGTGAAAGAGATTGTGAATATTGGGCATCTCTCCTCTATTGTCTATAGTCTCAGGTGCTCCAACAAAGACACACCAATCACTATACATTTACATCTTCTCTTCTTCTATGTACAAAGACAATCCAAACAGAGACAACACACACAAAACAAATGTCACTCTTTACGAGCTATAAACATTACAACTAATCAAATCATGAGACCAAACCTTAAGTATCAATCTCTAACCGTGGTTATCATCATCAAAACAATCCCCCTTGTTGAATTAGCCAAATATCCTACAATTTTCTCTTGAGCTACAAACGTACACCTTTGTAAAACTAATTAATAAGAACGATTATGTTTTCCACTATGATATTCTAGTTTGGTTTCTACGGATGAAGCATCGAAAGCCAAAGAAATATTAGTCCTATCTTGGTAAATTTCAAAGTACATACGAGTTCCACCTATAAATCCAGCATAAACCATAAGTACAACAAACAACGACGAAGGAAGGAAAAGCTGATATGAAGCTGTAGAGATTAAAAAGGGATATAAGAAGAAGCATTAATCGACGAAGTCGGGGCAACAATCAGAGAAATCCTCACGAGCCAAGCAACAAGAATCGATTGTAGATTGAAATCGAGATCCGAAACAGATCTACCCAGCAAACAGAACACGACCAAGAGAGACGAAAACACGGCGAAGAGACACGAGAACACGACGAAAGAAACGAGAACACGGCGATGAGAGACAAGAACACGACGTAGAAGACGGAATCATCGTGAGAGATCGTCGGCGATGAAAGACGAGATCGTCGCTCATTGTCGACAGAGAGATTGTAGAAGAGAATCAATTTCTTTAGGTTAAATGATTTAAGGGCACTATTGTCTTTTTACACTAAAATAGGGGTATTTTTAGAAATGTTCTTTCTACTGGGGTATTTTTAAAAAGCTAATCCTCAAAAGGGGTATTTTTAAAATTGTCCCTTCTTTTTAAAACAAAAAATTATGTGCTTGACAAAATAAAACAAGTCTTTGTTTCTAAATTACCCGTTCTCTTTCCGTATTTGTTATTTATTGTCTCGATATTTTCCCTCCACGATCACCATTTATTTTTTCTAAATTACCCGTTCTCTTTCCGTATTTGTTATTTATTGTTCCGATATTTGAAATATTTAGAAAATTTGAAACTTACGTTTGCTATTTAAATTTCATATACATGTATAATACCCGTCATTTGATATTTTAAATTTGAAATTGAATTTAAGTTTCCAAATTTTTTATATCGTCTTCTTTTTGATGAGAAATAGTTTAGATATTTTTTTTATAAAAATTATCTGTCCCTTTTTTCTATCTGTTCTTTCCTTATAAGATAAAATCATATATTTTTTATATAAATGACACCATTTAAATTTTTATTATTTTTTTTTTGACATCATTACAAATTAAAGTCTCTTTTTAAGAGGTACCGGGCTCAAACTCGAATCTGGTGAGAAGGCAACAGAAGTGAGAACCACTAGCCCATTTAAATGTTTGTTTTAAAACAATATTACGTAAAATTTTCAAATAATCGTTCCAAAAATAGAGATTTACATGTTTCAAAGTCAACCCTTACTCAAGTTAGTGAGATTTTGAAAGGTAACTATAACTATCAATTTT